AGTGTAGGTGTACAGGTGAGTGAGGTGTACAGGTGAGTGATGTCTGTACAGGTGAGTGAGTCTGTACAGGTGAGTGATGTCTGTACAGGTGAGTGATGTCTGTACAGGTGAGTGTAGGAGTACAGGTGAGTGTAGGTGTACATGTGTGTGTAGGTGTACAGGTGAGTGTAGGTGTACAGGTGTGTGTAGGTGTGCAGGTGTGTGTATGTGTACAGGTGAGTGTAGGAGTACAGGTGAGTGTAGGAGTACAGGTGTGTGTATGTGTACGGGTGAGTGTAGGAGTACAGGTGTGTGTAGGTGTGCAGGTGTGTGTATGAGTACAGGTGAGTGTAGGAGTACAGGTGAGTGTAGGAGTACAGGTGTGTGTATGTGTACGGGTGAGTGTAGGAGTACAGGTGTGTGTAGGTGTACAGGTGTGTGTATGTGTACGGGTGAGTGTAGGAGTACAGGTGTGTGTAGGTGTACATGTGAGTGTATGTGTACATGTGTGTGTATGTGTACAGGTGAGGCAGTAGATCGACTCGCTCACTCACTCATTCACTCACTCACTCACAATTATTACTTTATATCCTTTCAATATACGAAATGAACTTTGCAGGGAGGGACACGAGTACACGCAGCCCAGAAGTCTGTACGCGTACGATATCGAGGAACCGATTTGGGGATTCGCCGATGGCGGCGAAACGTACACCGGAAGCGACCGTGGCGCCATCTCTGGCATCGGCGGTGGTAGAATCGGAGGCATCGGCGGTGGCGCCATCGGTGGCATCGGCGGTGGTAGAATCGGAGGCATCGGCGGTGGCGCCATCGGTGGCATCGGAGGTGGCGCCATCGGTGGCATCGGAGGTGGCGCCATAGGTGGCATCGGCGGTGGAGTGATTGGCGGTGGCGGCGGCATCATCAGAGGCGGTGGCGGCAACGCGCACGGTGGCTACGGATACTAATGTGAATTCCACCCCCCCCCGCGCATCACACGGCTAACTCGACAACGAAACGCGAATCTGGAAGTTTCAGCACAACTTAGCAATAGAAGCGGTTATTAGCGAGTAGTGTGTATGATCGGATGCGGAACGAAGATGAATCAGTAGTAATAATAATTTATTCGTTGCATACGTACGAAAATAGATGATGGGTTTAGTTATCAATCACTTCTCGATTTCATCCATAGATTGATGATATAACCGATTAGTTGACGGATTAATGTATCAATAATCGATCATGGATGTATCGACAGAAGATTGGATGGCTATACGGGATGGATGAGCGGTCCACATACACTAGATTTGATAGAATATAATCAAAGTTTATTAATATTATTTAAATTATAGTTATCTAATATAGTACAAATTGTATGCGAATGTTTCATTTTGAATGGCCTTGCGATTGTCACAGTTGTTGTTATTTGTTACGTGTTTGACAAAAATCGATTCGTAAAAAAAGAAGATTTTTTAGACACGTGAATATAAAAGGACATGCGTATTTTTATTTCTTCAAAAAATTACAACAGAACAACGGAACTGAACATCAGTAATATAACGTGCAGCGATGTCGTGGCAGCAGTAGAATGCCAACAAATTATCACAATGAACATTATCACATCATCATCATCGATCTCGCGCATAAATTTCAGTTCTCAACTTTAGGACAGGTACATGAATTATGTATAATAATTATGTGTGCATGTAATTTATTACTTTAGAATTTATTCTCGCTTTGTACTCTAAACGTCGAAACAAAGGACACAGTAGGAGTTTTTTTACCACCTAGATATATATATATTATATATATTATATATAATATTATATATATAATATATATATATATTATACGGATGCTAGAAATCGATGTCATTCAAAATTCAGTTCTAACTTGAAGAAGTATGTGTATATATTATATATATTTATAATATATATATATATGTGTGTGGTGTGTGTTGTGTGTGTGTGTTGTGGTGCGTTATGTTAGAAATCTAATGTGATCTTTAGCCGTTGCTCATTCATAGTCGAAGTGCAAGTCGGATCCCTCCATTTTCTCACAAATGCGCTTATTGTAGATTTCGTTCTCGGCCACCGTGAAATGATTCTTCCAGTCTCCTATCTCACCTGCAACGTCACACACAACAATGACGTCACGCAACAACGCCGCACAACAATGACGTCAGTTCAGTTTGCGGCCCCGCAACGGAAGTCAGATGACGTCCACTTTACGCGCCCGCGTCTGCAATTTTCATCAGTCTCATTTTTCATCGTCATTTTATGAGTCTCGCAACGTTACGTAAAGAAATATAATATCGTCGTGTATAGACTGTTGCAAGTGGGTTATACGTCTGGGAACGCTGATCCCGACCACTCCCCCTTCTTCCCAGGAGACTACGCCCTGCTGCTACTGTGTCGACCATGCTATATCTCAGCCTGTTCTGCTTGCATCTATGACAAATACGACATACGCATATACGCTCTCCTATGACATATTTGTCTAGGAAGATTCTTTCTATGACAAATATTGTCTGGTATGTGTTGTGCCGCATGCTAGGGTTTAGGAGCGCTATTATGAATGCAAGCAGTGAATTTGAGCTGTAAAGCGGAAGGAAGTTAACTCGCCAATATTTGTCATAGGAAGAATCTTCCTATGACAAATAGTGTCATAGGCGAGCGTATATGCGTATGTCGTATTTGTCATAGATGCAAGCAGAACATGTTGTATATCTGTCTATACGTGTCACGTGCGTTCACGCGTGCATGCCATACACACCGTCGACTTTGATGAACTTCGCTACTACGCAGCCTGATTTCGAACGTTTTTCGAACGTGATTTTAGGACGTGCTTATATCTCAACGATGATTGGTATACCTGGCAGCGATTCCGCGGACATGTCGTTAAAAGAAATGGCCGCAGCTTGCTCGCGTACCTTTACTACCTGGCTACCTTGCTACCTGGCTACCTGGTGCCCTTGACGACCTGGCAGCGATTTCGCGGACATGACGTTAATTGCGGAAGAAAATGGCCGCCGCTTGCTCGCGTACCTTTGCGCACGAAGAGGGACACGCTCTGGTCGATGATCAATTTAGCCTTTTCCGTTGGCTTAACGACCTGAAGGATTCGCTCTCGGGACTGCTTTATGCCCGTATGTTCGGCGACCTTCATCACTTCCTCGTCCGTCAGCGACTGCCCGAGAAACTCAGCCATCCGTCTGATGCCACCGAGTTGATCCTGCATAACGAGTATATAGAGTTAAGATAGATAGTATGCATGAGCGTGAGTATAATAAATGTACGGTGATAGTGGTCCTACCGCTTTATCGGGCCCCGGATAAACGGGCGAGTCTCTTTAACTACGCGCTAATTTCAGAAATGTTTTCACCACACTACCACACTCGCGCTCATTTTTTAATCGCACTGCTAGCAATTTAAGAGTTTATGTTCAACGAACGTTTGCATCGCAGTCAGATAGGGCAGAAACGCGTTTGGTAGACAAGGGGGCATATTCAAGAGAGCGATGTGATGTACGTCTGCATGTAGCTTAATTGAAAGAACCGGCTACTAGATATACCTTCTTCATATCTTCGTATTTCACGATGCACATGTTTTGCATATTCGCTCTCTGCTGCCAGAACTCCAACACATAGTCGAAGAAGTCGCCGTAGAAGACTGTAGTACGGAGAATATTTAAAAATTAAAAATTAAAACACTCACACTCGCGCACGCACGCAAGCACGCACCGCACGCACGCACGCACACACGTACGCACGCACACACGCACGTACACACGCACACACGCACACACACATACACCACACACACACACCACTTACACACACACACACCACAACACACACACACACACACACACACACACACACACACACACACACACACACACACCACACACACACACCACAACACACACACACACACACATACACACGCATACACACACACTCACGTATACGTACGCACGCCACGCGACGCACCAGCACGCAACGCACGCACGCACGCACGCACACACACATACAAACATACACACAATACACACCATTTCCTGACGCGTAGTAGGGGAAAGAATTTGGAGAACACCAGTCCTTGATGCTTCCCAGCAGGACATTACTGCGATGGAAGTGGAAATACGACACAGCAACGTCCTTAGGTCCTCATCAAAATATGATCTACAATAAGGCAGCAAAAAATCCATATCCTGAGTCCAATGCTTCTATATAATGACTTTAGACAATTTTTATACGATAGTTTAGTGATGACGAAGGGAAGTGAATCTTTCTTTCAGTGAGCCATAAGTGAACGTAAAGAAACTCACGAAATAAACATAATGAATAAAAGTTAAATATTATCGCGGCATTTTCGTATCAGCTAACGCAACACTGCAAAAGGTTAGAAGCTGGTTGGATGCTGAAAAAACGCTTCGCTAAGTGCACGCGCGGAATCATATAGCGATTAGCGGTGAATTAATAGAAATGATGATTTTTATTTGCACTTCGTAGCGGCTCTAAGAGCTCCAGGGCGTGCGGCTGCCCCTACGCCGTATACTAAATCGTTGCACACATGTTATACTAAGCTAGTTGTTTACACTATATGAGTATATAATAGCAGTAGTGAAGATAAGATCAAACAAAATTGCAGATACCATTTCCCGAGGCTACTGTACTTTTTACGTGACCAAACAAGGCCATGCGTATGCGTGTATCGGAATATAGCCATCGCCCGGCCGCCGATTACGGGTGATGCTCCAATAAGAGCGTTCCCAACTTTTAAGGGGGGGGGCGGATCGATATAAATTAGATATCAAGGGGGTTATATATAACGATAAAAAAAATAATTTTATTTCCACATCAAGTGATTACGTCACCGTAAATAGTAAAAAAAAAAAATCCATTTTTTCACAAAAATATAAGTAATTCTGTTCATTTTTATGGTTAAATTGCTGGCATTATACTTCTATTTTACTATATTATTGTTCGATGTGAACACACACTCGTGACTCATACATATCCATAGCAAGCCATTAATGTTAGGAACACTAATCCAAATTCGTCCAGGTTTTTTGGATTTTAACTAGTTGAGAAACAATCTTATTAGGTGTAAAAATGGCAACAAAATTTTTACAAATTTTACCATAGAAAATTCGTGACGTAGTCAATTTAAACAAATACAATTTAAAATTTAAATTTAAAATTAAACATTAAAAAATTAAAAATGTGATTTAAAAAATATTTGGCCATTCACTCTACCCTTCTTACTAATAACCGTAGGACCAACCTAGATAGTTACCAGGGTACGTTCCGGTATACCGAACCGTACCCAGGGTACGTTCCGGCAGTACCCTGGGGGACATAGACCCTATGATACTACTGCCTATAACCTGCTGCCAAGATAAACGGAGAAAGGCATCGGGAACTCAATTGTTCAATGCGGCAGAACCAATCGGGAACCAATCTGGAACCTATCTATAGTCCTACGGGTCGCTGATATAGTTAGGGTTAGGGTTAGGGTTAGGGAGTAGGCGTAGGCAACTCCCTAGACTCGTTAGTGGAGTAGGCGAGGTACGGTCCGGCATATTAGATAGTAGTATTTAGTACCAGGGTACGTTCCTGGAGGACATAGACCCTATCAGCGATAGTAGTATCATAGGGGATAGCTTAGTACGCGATGACGCTTCGGAGCGTACCCCACCTCAATCCGGAGGGCCAACTCACTCCACACCATCGTGGCTTGTGCGTACAACTACCGGGATAGAGTGCACACAAAAATTAAGGATCACATTTGCAGTCTGTACATACGGAGTATATAACTCCTGATATGTGCGAGCGTGTGTGCGTGTGTACGTGCGTGTGTGCGTGCGTACGTGTGTACGTGCGTGCGTGCGTGCGTGCGTGCGTGCGTGCGTGCGTGCGTGCGGTTGTACGTGCGTGCATGAGGGCGTGCGTGAGTGCGTGCGTGCGTCGTTATGTCGTTATATGGGAACTGTGTGTTTCGCTGTACCTTTGCCTTGCCGTTCCTCAGAGCGGGCGGTAGTTCGTCAAAGCGAAGGTGGGACTGGAAGAGGCGTATCCCTGACGTGGCGTTCATGGCAGCAATCTTTTCTTCTGGTGTCGCTCTCATCAGCACCTCTAGGGGATGGTTTCTCGAGATCGCATCGAACTTCTCCTTGTCTCCCTTACTCATGATGAATCCTACCGTGTCGTTCATCCACTGTGTTCCTGCAAGCGCAATCATAGATGGTGATGATATAGATGAGCGTGCACGCATGCATGGTTGGCCATCGTACTCAGAAATAATGATTTCTACCTCAGTAGAAATCCGTGTAAAATCCGGTTAAATTATGTGTAACAATTTTGGCCTCATTTTGGGTAAAAGGGCTATAATTTTACTGCGGTTAAATTGATATTTCTATACCGCGATAAAAATAATTTATCCCCGCGTATAGGCCTCTGACTGGGTCAAAAGGTCTATAATTTTACCGCGATAAATTTATGTGTATCAAGGCCTCTGATTGAGTAAAAAGGAAAATAATTTAATTTTATCGCGGTTAAATTATGTGTACCGCAGTAAAAAATAATTATGTCCGAGTACGATGGCCATGCAACGAGGCGTGTTCAGGAGAGCGCTCGCCTTCTGAACGACACTGCGCGAGCGCGCGCGCAAGCTCCAGAGGTAGCTGTTCGCGCAGCGCGCGAGTTGTTTTCAAGATGGCGACGGGCAATCTGGCGAATGCGAATCTAACATTTCTGACTTCAATTTGCAATCTATTTCAACTTCATTTCATTTTTCATTTATTCATTTACTTCTAAATTCAATTCGTATCAATTTCGTCTGCTAATTCGTTTAACAGTACTTGTTCGAAGACATTAAAATCTCGCGATTAAAATCTGCTAAGTAACCCTCCGTGGGGGCCGCCATCTTGGATAAAGTGAGCGCACAGCAAGCGCTCGTGTGTCGTTCAAGAGGCGCTGCGTTCGTGCAGGGAGCGTTCGCATCGTACGTTCGCTCTGTTGAGCACGCCTCTGGCATGTGTGTGCGTGTTGTCAACTTGTCAGAGGGGGCTAGCCTTGCCCGAGCCCTGACCCTACAACTGCTGCTGCTGTAGATACTGAAATGTAACCCAACATAGTAGATGGGGGTGCATGGGTACTACACAGGCACTTGAACCGTTTCAATAATGAAATGATTGTTAATAAATACAACTTGTCAGTACTAGACCTACCAGTACCAGCAAAGTCCTACTTTTGATGACCTAATCACTTCAACACCGCCAAGATACACCGCTGCAACACCATAGCGCGCACGCCATTGTCATCACAATACACAGTAGGTTAGAGAAGTAAGAAAGCGTACTCAACAGAATCCAGGAACGCTCGAATCTTCACACACTAGAGCAAAATATCACAAACACGCCATGAGATGGGCACTGGTAGCGAATGGTCCTTTGAAATATACTCTGCAACTTGATACCACATACTTACCCAGAATTAATAAGAAATCCTCTCGAATTTGCCGCGAATTCTCCCCATGAACCGCTTCGTAATGGGCCCAACAACTACGCTACTGCTACTGCACTTGCTACTGCACCGCTGCGTGCTACTGGCACTGCTACGCTACTGCTATGCACTGCACTCAACTACTAAGTATAATTAAGATTCCAGCATTACTCAGCATATTGCACGGTCTATTCCCCAGTGTACTACCGGAACCGTAGCCTGTCGGGTCCGGTATATGCCGGAAACGTGACCCGGTAACTATCTACGATATGTTAGCGTTAGGGTTAGTGTAGGTACGGGTTAGGTAGGTACGGTTAGGAGTAAGCTAGGCGATCCCTAACCGTAGTGGATAGCGTAGTACGCGTCCGGCATATTAGAATTAGACCAGGGACGTTCGGTATACCGATCCGCGCCCGGGTACGTCCGGCAGCACCCTGGGGACATAGCCCCTATCAGCCATATCCTGATGCTATAATTATGCTAATAATTCTATACGGTAAAATATATGGTTATATAATCCAGAAAGACAGGGTACAAGATGGCGTTGCGCAAAAGACGCGTTGTTCCCTGACCGCCGAGAGCAGTTAAGCCGCGTACTTCCGCGGGACTGGGCGCACGCGACCGCGGGGGTGTTGTATGTAGCATCTCGCGCTGCCCGCTATACGAATTCGCGCGCCGAAGGAGGGCGGGCGCGCGAATCCGTATAGCGGGAAGCGTATCATGCAGTTTTCGTCACACCTACACCGGCTCGGCTACGGCGGTCTTGGGTGGGGGCATTTGCTGCTGCTGCTGCTGCTTTGTTGCTCCAGGGGCGCGCTGCAGCAGGGACCAGTATTTGGTGCTGCTGCTGGTTTGCTGCTGCAGAAGCGCGCTGCAGCAGGGTCGAGTATTTCTTGCTGCTGCTGCATGGGCCATTATTTCTTGCTGCTGCTGCTTTGCCAGTATCTACGTGTGCGTACGTGTAAAAACTGGCACGGCAACGCCGCCACGTGCTCGCACGACGTGCCGTCGCCACGGGCAGCGCGGGGTCAGGAGGGTGGTAAAAACTTGCCACGTACGCAGCCAGGCGCCAGTTTTTGAGATAGCATCTAGACCGCGCCCGCCCACGTGGAGCGCCGTTCCAGACTTCGTTAAAACCTCTGTGATAGACATGTAGCTATA